GGGGAGGGGGAAGGGGGTACCTATACAGAGGGGAGGGGAGGGGAGAGGGGGTATCTATACAGGGCGGAGAAGCTGCAGAGAGCAGGCTGGAGAAGAGGTTTCTGGAGGGACAGAGAAGACCTGCAGGGATAGCACAGGGCAAGGGGGCACCACTTCATGCCCTCTCCAGCCCATCTGGACCCAGCGCCTCGTCCATCCTGGACTCCACGTACAGGAGGGGCACTTTGAACTCAGCCAGTCTCAGGGTGTAAGGACGGGGGGCCGGTGTGGGGAGCCGATACAGGGTTAAGCCTGGGACTGACCTGTTGCTCCCCACAGTCCGGGAGGGCCCAGGACCTTGGCAGGAACCCCTGAGCCTCAGCATGTTCTTTTGAACATAATAACTGCGTCTTATCTGCACTCTTCATCCCTTCGAAAATATTTTTAGTTTGGCTTTTTTGCTTATTCTGCATAATTCCAACAACTCGATGCCAAGGCGCTGTGGTCCCTGGAGACAGGATAGACATCCCTCCTCCATGCCCTCTCTCCTCCTTGCTCTCCCTCATCCTTCCCCAGGATGGGGGGAGGCCTTGCTCCCCTGGTGGCCCTAAAGGCCTTGGGGGCAGTTGAGCCCTGTCTCTGGTCTATAGATCAGGGTCAGGGGTCAGGGACGCACTCTGCAGCTTACAGGGCCCCTCTGCTGGGGAGGCTCTGAGCCAGGACTCAGTTGGCTTGTGTTTCCAGATTCACGGTGGGTGCTTGGCTCACAGAGGAAGGGGCTTGTCCACTGGGGAGCCTTGACCACTGCAGGGAGCCTCAGCCAGCCCAGGGCCAGGTCCCCAGAAGACAGAGGGTCAGTCTGGCCCTGCTTAAGAAATGAGGGTGTTTGGTTTTTTCAAAATATTTTTTAATTGATTTCAGAGGGGGAGGGAGAGAGAGAAACATCAATGATGAAAGAGAATCATTGATCCGCTGCCTTCTGCGAGCCCGCAACTTCGGCATGTGCTCTGACCAGGAATCGAACCCTGACCTCCTGGTTCATAGGTCAATGTTCAACCACTGAGCCACACCAGCCAGGCAAGATGAGGTTTTTTTACATTGAAAAACTTCTTTTCATTATCACCTCTTAAGTTTTTGTTTGTGTGTTATATTTTATTGATTCGTAATCAGTGTTTATATTCTTTTTTTCCTTTTTCCTTCTGTGTGTCATAACAGCAGTCCTGAAGCTCATGGTCTTCGGCATCCCTGGTTTCAGGTGTCCGGGGCACTGACATTTCTCAGTGTTTTTCTTGCCCTAATTGACTTGGCCTTCCTGTGAGATGGGAGGAAGCAGATTGAATGGGGATGACGCCCCCCAGGAGCCTGTCTGGGCGGCCTGGGTTAGTCTGCACTGTTAGGCCTGCGTTAGTCCGCACACTCCGTCGGTGGAGGACTGCTGGGTGGTCGGTGGAGGACTGCTGGGCGTGAGTGAGCCTGTGTGTGGCCAGCTCGGTGGCACCTCCCTGCCTTCAGGGCACCCGGCTGCCCTCCCCTCACAGTGCTGAGCCCTCCAACGGACAGCCCTGGTCTCAGGGAAGGTTTGTTGATAATCTTAAACTATCTTATAAACTCTTTGGGTTTGGCCAAAAGCAGGGCTGTGTTTTGCCAAACAAACTTTGCCCTCGACTTTTAAACTAACATGTTTTTAAGGGAAACATAATCTGCAGTTTCTTCAAGTGTTTATTTAATTCGCACAAACGTTGTTTTCCTAGAGGCCTGATCTAGGCTATCCAAGAAGACTGAGAAATTTTTCTTTTTAAAAAATTTTTAAAAATTGATTTGAGAGAGAGAAAGGGGGGAAAGAGAGAAACATTGATTTGTTGTTCTACTTATTTATGCATTCATTGGTTGATTCTTTTTTTTAATCTTCACCCGAGGATATGTTTATTGATTGTTTTAGGGGCAGGGGGAGAGAAACATCAATGTGAGAAATATCGATTGGTTATCTTTCCACCAAGGTTCGAACCTGCAACCTTAGCATTTAAGGACTACGCTCTAACCAACTGAGCTACCTGGCCAGGGCTCTGCCTCCTTTTTTTTTAAAAAAAAATCTTTTTTGTTAATCCTCATCTAAGGATTTTTTTTTCTTTTTTGTTAATCCTCAGGTGAGGCTATTTTTTCCAGTGATTTTTAGAGAGTGGGAGGGGGGAGAAAAGGGAGAGAGAGAGAGAGAGAGAGCGAGCTGGAAATACCAATGTGAAAGAGACACATTGATTGGTTGCCTCCCGCATGTGCCCGGCCGGGACCAGGTATCGAACCTGAAACCCAGTATGTGTCCTTTATCGGAATAGAACCTGTGACCCTTTGGTGTGTAGGCTGACACTCTAACCACTGATCATACCAGTCAGGGCTCTGCCTCCTTCTTACGAGGACACCTGTGGTTGCATTTAGGGCCCATGCTGATAATCTCTCCAACTCAAGAGCCTTCACTTAATTACATCTGCAAATGTGCCTTTTTCCAAGCAAGGTAACATTTCTAGGTTCCAGGAATTAGGACTCAGTATTCTGCCTACCGCAGTGTTTCTCCCCGAGCGCGAAAGCAGCTAACACCTAGCAGCTCAGTCTGCACAGCAGCCCCATGAGACAGGCGTTGCCCCGCTCCCTGGGTCAGATGAGGAGATCACGGCACAGGGAGGGAGATGACTTGCCAGCGGGTCAATAGTAGCTCAGGGCGCTAGCCCAGCGCTGGGGCGTTGAAGACCGTGCCCCTGGCCTCTGCTTCCTGCCTCCCTAACACTGAGTTACAGAGTGTGTGGGATGACTGAGTGGATAGTTTGAAGACCGAAAGACGATGATGAAGAGGAGGGAACGGAAGGATTCGGGGGGCAGGGTGAGTGTCCCCTGGGTTGCTCCTGGCACCCCACATACTCTCCCAGACTTAATTTTTTATTTTAAAGGGCTAGTCACTTCTGGACTGGTCTCAAACACGCCTGCCCCGCGCCGCCTCAAGCATTCTTCCTAGGGAAAAGCAGAAGCTGGCATGCCCCGGGCTCACCTCTGCCCTCCCTACAGGACACGAGAGCTACGTGACCTTCTGCCAGCTGGAGAACGAGGCTGCCTTCACGTGCAGCGCCGACCGCACCATCAGGAAGTGGGACGTGCTGACCGGGCAGTGCCTGCAGGTGTTCCGAGGACACACATCCATTGTGAACAGGTCAGCATGGCCGGGCCGGCTGACAGGCGGTGAGGACTCGGCCTCTCATCTTACCTGGCTGGGCCCCAGGGACAGAGGTGTAGCTTCTGTGGGGAAGCCGCCTGTGGGCACGCAGGTTGGTCACCAGGAGCACAGAGCAATGGGAAGCTCAGGACAGAAGTGTCCCCAGGTGTGACATGTGCCCACTACCTAGGGCTGCAGGTGGGGGTTTGGGAGGTAGAGGTGGGGAACACATTGACTTGGCTGCATACTGCCCCCTGCTGGGCACAGGGAAAGGCATCTGGAGGCCACAACTCCTAGGGTGGAACAGATTCCAGAGGAAATGGCTTAATTGGTACCCGATGGTGGGCCAGGGACTTGGTGGAGCAGCCAATGGGGATGGCTCTGAAGATGAAGCCAGGGTATTTTTAAACCTCTCCTTTCCGTGTTGCACTTGAAACTGTTCTCCTCCCTCTACCCTCACCCCCCTCCTCGGTTTGAGTTTTCCCTTATTGGATTTGGGTCTGAGCTGAGCCATGAAATTCCTTTGCTCATCAGATCAATTTAACATTATTTATGTAACTGCGGCCATCGGCCATCGCAGGCTCCCGAAGGACTGCCCGGATCAGCAGGAGTCTGGCCCCGCCCTCGGCCTTCCGATGCCTTACTGACAGGAGGCCACCTGCCTGGGCGGTAAATAAGGAGAGACCCAGTGCAGGCAGTGGTTTGAGGGGACAGAGGCAGGCGGAGCTGGGCTGGCGGACTAGGATATTCCCCGCCAGGAGGGACGCTGCCAGCACGGGCTTTGCTCACACCTGGGCCGGGTGGGACCTGAGTTGTTAATGGTCAAGGCCCAGAAATGGCCAGACTGACCATTAACTGACCAAGTTCCAGTGGCCTGCATTCGGAATGGTGCACCCACAGGGCAGGAACTCAACAACACCCCTAAGTAGAAACACAGTAAAGAGCTGTGTTGGCACACCACGCACACGCACACATGTTCACACACACACACACACACACACACACACACACACACACGATGGTCAGAGTGGGGAAGGCAGGCCCCGTCCCCCGCCCACCTTCCAGCAGCCCCACTTTTGTCCCCTACCGTTACCTGGAGCAGGCCAGGCCGCAGACCTGGGAGGCCAGGGCCAAGCAGATTTTTATTGACTTTGGAGAAGAAGGGAGAGAGAGAGACACTGGGGATCGAGCCCACAACCCGGGTATGTGTGTTCTGACCGGGAAGCGAACCGTGACCTTCTTGTTCACAGATCGACGCTCAACCACTGAGCCATGCTGGCTGGGCTCCTTTTCTTTTGAGAGAGAGAGAGAGGGAGAGAGAGAAACATCAGTTCGTTCTGCACCCCAAACATCCCTCCCTCCCTCCCTGCTGTCCTTCCTTTCTCTCTTTTATTTATTTATTTTTTACATATTTTTATTGACTTTGGAGAAGAAGGGAGAGAGAGAGACACTGGGGATCGAGCCCACAACCCGGGTATGTGTGTTCTGACCGGGAAGCGAACCGTGACCTTCTTGTTCACAGATCGACGCTCAACCACTGAGCCATGCTGGCTGGGCTCCTTTTCTTTTGAGAGAGAGAGAGAGGGAGAGAGAGAAACATCAGTTCGTTCTGCACTCATTGGCTGGTTCTCGTATGTGCCCTGACGGGGTCAGACCCACAGCCTGGTGTGTCGGGATGACACTAACTAACTGAGCCACCCAGCCAGGTCCCAGCACTCTCTCTTAAGAAAAATTTGTGACTGAGGAAAAGTGTGGGAAGGGGGAGTCTCCTTTTGTGAGGCGTGAGTGGTCGGAGTGCTGACAGGTGGGAGAAGGCCACACCTCAGGTGACCAGCTTGCTCTCAGGTTGTACCTGGCAACTATCAGCTGCTTTTTATTGGTTTCAGAGAGGAAGGGAGAGGGAGAGAGGGATAGAAACATCAATGATGAGAATCGTTGATCGGCTGCCTTCTGCACACCCCCTAGTGAGGGTTGGGCCCGCAACCTGGGCATGTGCCGTTGACTGGAATCGAACCTGGGACCCTTCAGTCCACAAGCGGACGCTCTATTCACCGAGCCAAACCAGCCAGTGCACACACTACTTTTGAGTGGTAGATCTGGGAAGACATTTGCATTATTAACTGTGCTTGCAAATGCGTGACACCCCTGAGGTGAGGACACGGAATTCACTTCCTCCCGTGTTTTCAGAGCTGGGCCAGGTGTGTGAGCTTCTGGGGGAGCCCACCAGGCCTGGCGTCTCTGCTCTCTCATGCCAGGCCACCCCCGGCGGCCTGCAGGCCCCCAGCACGTCACCCGTGGTGCATGTGACAGCAGGTCCTCACTTTCCTTTAGAAACACACACGTCGTGGAATCCACATCTACCAGGGCAGGAGCTGTTTCACTGAGTCTGTTTCCTTAGTCACCTGCAGGAGGTGAGAACCTTGCAGGATGCGGGGCCTGGGTGCGGTGCAGGCAGGTCTGTTCCCTCGCGTGGTCCATCTCTCCTCCCGCTGCGCCAGCCTCCAGGACGGAGGGAGCGCCAGGTGTCCCTAACCTACCCCTGTCCCCACACCGAGGACAGGGCCTTATTCCAACCTTGGCCTCTGCCCTTTGGGGTCTGTGCTCCTGGGGGCTCAGCCTCCTCAACACGGGCCCTTTGAGGTCACAGCCAATGTTCTATACAAAAGACAAATGTGTATTTTTCTGGGGGGACGGCCTTAGCATTTATCGAAAGGAGAAAAAGATTCACGAGTTTTTACTGTTGGGCGGCCTTTCTTCCTGCCCTGGGGGCGGGAGGAGGTGGCCAGACCCTCTCTGCTCCTCTCACCCAGAATTCCCTGGGGCCCTTGGCTGGAGTGTTGTCAGCAGACGTCGGCCCAGATGACATTTGGCTGTGCGAGCTGCAGCAGATGCCATGCCCGCTCCCACCCCCACCCCACCGAGACCTGTCTGATTGTGTCTCCCGTGGCCCTGACTACAGAAGTCACTCGTGGGCTGATCTGGCACTGGCGCTGTGAGCGTGACAGAGGCCTTTCAGAAAACACACATAACTCCCAGCTTCCCCAAGGTTCTACCATCCCGATGCCCCACCCAGCCCCTGAGTCTGACCTGTCCTTAGGGTGACCAGTGTGTCCCACTTTGCCCAGAACGTTCCTGGTTTTTAAACTGCAAGTCCCATGTTCCCGCAGCCTTTCAGTTCGGGGCAAACCCGGAGGGTGGGCCGCCCCCTGTCCTCCCCACCCGTCCTCCCCACCTGTCCTCCCCACACCCGCTTCCATAGGTGTAACGAGCGGCTGCTGTGGTCCTCGCGTTGGGCGGGATGGAAGCATCAGAGCCTGGGCCCTGCTGCGGGGAAGTCAGAGTGGACCACGGCCCAGCACGTGGTGGGGATTCTGGGCGGCGTCTTAGCGAAGGGGCCTTCAGCTGAACCCCGGGGGTGACTGGTCACGGGGTGCAGAGGGAGTGTCTCCAGCCACAGTGCAGAGGCAGCCGCCCCTGGCCCGGGCAGGTGTCCATGCCGGTGGTGGGGCTATGATGGCAGTGACCAGGACGCCTTCAGTCTGGGCTTTGTTCTGTGAGTGGTGGCCTCTGCCTGGGCCCCTGCAGCTTCAGGGGTGTTCTCCTGACCCCGCACAGTCCCCCCTGAAGCAGGGGCCTGGGGTACTCCAGCCCAGGACTTTCTCTGGGAGCATTTCCTGCTTCCCGTTGCCTGGGCTCAGGGAACGTGGAGGACACCTGCCAAAGGGACCCTGTGACAGCCTGCCGGGCAGCCCTGTGGGCCAACCCCTGGCCTTTCCCTCTGCCACCAGGATCCTGGTCACCAACAACCAGCTCTTCAGCAGCTCCTATGACCGGACAGCTCGCGCCTGGAGTGTGGACAAGGGGCAGGTGTCCCGGGAGTTCCGGGGCCACCGCAACTGCGTGCTGACTCTCGCCTACTCCGCCCCCTGGGATCTGCCCGGGGCTCCCTTCGAGGAGGAGGCTGTGTCCGGGGGGCTGCTGGTAACAGGCAGCACGGATGGCACGGCCAAGGTGTGGCAGGTGGCTAGTGGCTGCTGCCACCAGACCCTACGGGGCCACACGGGTGCCGTGCTGTGCCTTGTGCTGGACACGCCCAGCCACACAGCCTTCACGGGCAGCACGGACACCACCATCCGCGCCTGGGACATCCTGAGTGGGGAGCAGCTGCGGGTGTTCCGGGAGCACCAGGGCTCTGTCATCTGTCTGGAGGTGAGACCGCCGCCCCCTCTGTCTGTGCTGCCCTGCCCTGCCCCCGTGTACAGTCAGCTGGGCCTTCGTGACAAAGTGCCACAGGTGGGGGCGGGGGGGAGTGAAACAGCAGAGCTCGGTGTCTCTCAGTTCTAGAGGCTGGAAGTCCAAGATCAAGGTGTCTGCAGGGCTGGTTTCTCCTGAGGCCTCTCCCTCCGGCCACACATGACCTTCCCAATGTGTCCACATTTCCTCTACCTAGAAGGACACCAGTCCTACTGGGTTAGGCAGGCATCACCCCATCGGCACCTGGCAGAAGTAGTCTCTATGCCGGCGAATGTTGGGGGTCCTTGCTCTTACCAGTATGGTGCTGGCACGGTCCTTAGCTTCCGTGAAGCTGCTGAGGAGCAGTCAGTGACTTGGCCAAGGGCGAGTAATAGTGAAGACCTGAGCCGGGTCTGCCTGCCTGCCCAGCCCCACGCTCCCCGGGAAGCGGGGAGGAGCAGGGAGGTCCTGGGTGCCGGAGCCGGCGGTCAGGTGGGACCCACAGCCGGGCGTTTCTGGTTCGTGCACTTTCTCCACTGAGCCCAGCACATCCCCTCCCCTTCCATTCGGAGAGGCTGGGAGGGCCTCTGAGCCACAGTACCCACATCCCTCCTCAGCTCGTGAACCAGCATGTGTACTCGGGCAGCGCCGACAGGACCGTCAAGTGCTGGCTGGCGGACACGGGGGAGTGTGTGCGCACGTTCCCAGCCCACAGACACAGCGTGAGCGCCCTCAAGTACCATGCGGGCACCTGTAAGTGACCCTCCCTGCACCACCCCACCTGCCCAGCCCACCTTGTCCTGCCTGCTCCCCACTCCGCTCCCCCAAATCCTCCCTGCTCAGCACCTCTGTGCTTCTCTACTTCAGGACTAATGGGCAGCTGTCATTCAGTGCGGGCAGCACCCAGGAGCTGTGGCCAGGCCACCTGCATTCACATGTTCCTCCAGCGTTATCTACAAAGCAAGCCCAGAAAGGGGGTGGGGACTCCCCTAACTTTAGCCACCAGAACATGCAGCCACCTGGATGCTCAGAGGTCCTAGGGCAAGAGCACGTCTCAAGGACACATTCTAATTCCCAGTGAGACAGCGACACTGCTACTCCAGCCAGCGTGAGGGCCATGTGGGTTTGGCTTCACTTGGCGTTTAGGTTTGCGAACAGATAAGAGAAAACGCAGAGAGCAGTGGTTTGAATGAGATGGTGGTTTATTTTTCTCTCAGAAGAATTTTAGGGGCTCTCAGTTATCAGGCACCCAGATTCCTTCTGTCACGTTGCTTCACCACACATACCTCCTATCGTTAAGGGGCTGATGGTCCAAGATAGCGGCTGGAGCACTCCTGTTTTGTGCAGGAAGAAGAGGGAAGGGCAAAAGGATGTGTCTCTAGCTGATAAGGCCCCTTTAAAACTCTTCCCTGGAAGGGCCACCCAAGACTTTTCCCTGAGTCTCAGACCACTGCCTGCAGGGACTGCTGAAGAAAACCTCTTCTCTGGGGACGCAGCTCCCAGGAGGAACCGGGATTGTTTTGTGAAGGAAGAAAGGCAGATGGCTTACTCGGTGGGCAGCAAGCTGTTTATCCCACAGGCTCACATAGCCACACAACTGGGCTTTGCGGGCTCTGTCCAATTGGCTGTGTGTTTACACCCCAGGCACCAAGAAGGCAGACACTGTTCCAGGGAAGCCAGCCCCAGCCTCATCACATCTGCATGGCAGGGGGCTCCCAGGTTCCTGAGCATCCCTCCCCAAGTGCTGCCCAATGCTCTGTGTTGCCATCAGCCTCCCTCCCCCCATGTGTGTGCGTGGACCCCCCCCCACACGCGCGCACGCACACACACACACACACAGCACTGAGCCTGCTTGTCATCTTCCTAGCACTGGGCTGAGGGAGCAGAGGGTGGAGGAAGAGTCACAGTGGGAAACTCACAGACTTCACAGCACACGTGATAGATGAAGACGGAATGTGAATCTGAAAATAGCGCCTGAGGTGCCCCCGGGATTTAGGTGTCTGACACGGACAAATTATTTTTTTCTTCTTCCTATATCCAAACCTGTAAGTGTGATTGTGTGTCAGCTCCCAAGTCGGGACACTTAGAAAGGCTCTAACTTACAAAGACTGCCGCCTAGAGCACCTCCCCTTGGCAGCAGCCGGGATGGAAGCTGCCACTATTGGATCCCAGGGGCCCTCCCTGTTGTTGCCAGTTGTGAAGGAACTTGGTCTTCCCAACAGGCTGTGGGATGATGAGACTTAATTCCTGACCCTGCTCCCACCCACGGGGTGCACAGCGACCAGGCTTGGTTGGTGGGGAAGGGAAGGCAGGAGAGGAGCTGAAAAGCCCAGAAAGGAAACTGCCATCCAGGGCCACCTTGTCGGGTAGCTTTAGCAGAGAGGCCGGAACACAGGAGGTGGGTAAGAAAGGGAGCCCCGGGGTTGCTTGCTGTGACCTGCTCAGGCTGCAGGTGGATGTAGCGGATGCTGTGGGTACCGTGTGCAGGGGTGCTTCTTGCCGCAGCACCTAAGGTCCTCAGCCCGCATGTGTGTTCTTGTAAGGGGGGGCGGGCAGCGGAGAGCTGGGATTGACACCCACCAGAGAGGCCCTCAGCCAATGACTAATGAGAATGGCTGGGTAGGTAGCCCAGCATCCTTGCCCTCGGGTGGGACAGCTGACACGTGGTCTGCACCTTCTCCCAAGGCCTCGTTACTGCACCTGTGTGGTGCCCATCCGTGTTTCTCTCCCACTTCCTGGAGCGCCTGCCAGATGAGCTATTGGCACTGAACTCGTGTTGGGGTGGCTCCTGGGACAACCCGGGCTAGACCATACGTGAACCAGAGGTTCCGTGTTCTCAGCGAGGTTCCTGACCAGCAGAATAGGAATCACCTGGAACTGGTTAGAAGTGCAGGTCCCCAGGCCCCTAAATCATAAACTCGGGGGCGCCCAGCGGTCTGTGCTTAAGCCCAACAGGTGGTTCTAATGACCCTGGGCTTTAAGGACTCTACTATGTTCTAAGAAACCGGCTTATCCTTGCAAGAGGTTGGGCAGGGCACGCTGCTGCCCCCAGGCCTGCGCTGGGAGGCGAAGTTCATTAGTGCGGGAGGAGCATCTCTGGTTGGTGCTTGCCCCGGCAGCGGAGGGAGGGCTCCCCTGAGTCGCGCCTCAGAGCTGCGGGAACACGGGGCAGATGAGACCAGTTTACCAATGGCTTCCACCAAACGCTTGAGAGGGAACCTGGGCCAGGTGGTGCTGGGAGGAATGGCAGCCCCTGGACGGGCCGCGCAGGACGATGGGAGCCCAAGGAAGAAGGCCTCTCCCGGCCCCAGGGTCCCCCTGACGCGGGGAGGTGGTCAGATAATGAAGGTGCTGCGTCCGTCTGTCCAGGGGCTTCCGCTAGGCCCCACGGGAACCTAGGACATCCTGTGAGGCGGGCAGACGGGCCCCCCAGAGGGTCCAGGTGATGGGGCCAGCCCTGCCCCTGGGCCCGCGCGTGCTGGAGGGGGAAGGGCTGTCGGGCAGGTGCCCAGTGGCGCGTGTGTCCACAGTGTTCACGGGCAGCGGGGACGCCCGCGCGCGCGCCTTTGACGCCGAGTCCGGGGGGCTCCAGAGGGTGTTCCGCGGCCACGCCTTCATCATCAACTGCATCCAGGTAGGCGCCCCCGCCCGCATCCCCGGGGT